GCTTGGGTGTTTGGCTACACCAGCAGCCAAAGGAAGGTATGGTATGATCAGAATCACAACAGAACACAAGATGACACATGCAAGGCAGGATGAACTACATGGTTGTGATGCTACAAGCTTGAACTTGGACAGCTGAAGGTTCTTCTTTTCTCTTCCACCCCCTCCCTGATCAGCTAATGACTCCAGTCATGCCTGGGTGAAGAAAGGGTAGTTGCTCCCCTTTTTCCCAGTCACCTACAGTGAGGAAGCACTGCATCATCTCTCTGCCAGCCAAAAAGCAGATTTGGTATCTTGGCAGCAGTCCTGCAGCTGTCATTGACTCCTCAATCCTCAGCTTCTGGAAGAGACCATTGCCTTTTGCTTGCTGCTGCATCTTTGCCACAAGAAAACAACTTAATATTCCTTTAGAACAGGTAACATGCCTTGGGAATATGAACATGGGACATACCTTCTATGAGTCTTCTTGTGCGACACTTTCTGAAGACAACAATTATTATTGTAACATCAGTGCCCAGTTAGCTGTAAAACCATAATCAGAGTGCACTTACAAACGACATGGCATAGCAAGAGATTTCATGTGTGTCTTTCCTGTAGCAGTGAAAATGTTTTCATTAATGACTAAGTGATGGAAGAGGGAGGCTCCACTGTGTAACTTTGCTGTTGGAACTGAGCTGGGAAAGATGGGGAAACACAGTAACTTCAGAAGAGCTTTGCTGAAAATTACCTGTAAACTGAGATGAAAATACAAGCATCATGCCCCCACAGAAAGCTCATCTATCTTCCACTCTAGCATGCATGTTCAGTCCTACTCTGCTCCAGTTTCATCCCTTACCCTTGAGCACTGTCCCGTTCAAGGTGTCACAATGCCAGAGAGACACAAACACAAGTTATTGGAAGTCTAACCAACAGGAGATTATTTAAAAGAGCAATGTTTATTTAGCCCAGGTGGTATTGTCATGCAAATTGACAAGAGATCTCAATTGTTTTAAGTACCTCCTATAAAGGGGATGATTGAACAATTCCTCATCTCTGTGAGCAATACAGACAGGATAAGGCACGAAACGTTTGCATTACAGCAATGGAGATGAGGCATTGGGGAAGAATTTTACTTGTCTTCAATCTCGCTAAAGAAGAATCCAGGCAAGAAAGCCATTTTATTAATGGTTAATATTAAACATTTATCAGACTCTGTGTACATAGCAGCATATACTGTATACAGCAAGTCCTTAGTGTGATCATATCACTGGTATGGGTATGAACATTCAAAAAAAAGTCCAAAAAGATACTAAGGTTTTTATAAGCACTGAACAAACTAGGCAAAACATGCATCAGGAATCACAAAAATTAATTCACCCTACATGAAGTGGGAATTTGATGATTTCTTAAGAGTCCTTTCCAGACCCATAACCCTGTGATAATGCTATTTTGGCTTCACATCTATGATCCAAAATTATATGGAGTTTCTGACCTAATGGGACAAAAACAAGTACTAGAGATCTATTAGTACTGCAGCTGCTCACAGCTACAGCACCTTACACAACTGCTTTTGTGCAGGCAAGATAAAGAATGGTAATAAAATATTAAAAAACAAGATTATGAAATCTAGACTTTGGTAATTTTATGTCAGTATCTTCACTTGGGAATTGTTCTGCTGAAGGCATCTGTGTTGGGTGTAGGTGTGAAGGTGTCAGTAGTGGAGAGCTGCAGAAGTGGCTTCTGTGGGGAGAGGCCATGGGTTGCCCTGTGCTGGACACAGCTGATTCCAACAGACCCATGGTGGAGCAGATGGATGTTTCTGAAGGAACCGTGATGTCCACACCAGTGCAGAGGGAAAACACGAGGAGGAAGGAGCTGCAGTGAGAAACTGCTATGTACTGACCACAACCTTTCACCCACCTGAGCCCCGTGGTGGCAGGGTAGGAGAGCTAGGAGTGAATTGAGTTTGGGACAACAGGGAGCAAAGGCATTGTTTCAATGTTTGTCTCCTGTTTCTCAATACCCAAATCTGTTTCAATTGGCAATAAGTTAATTTTTCCCAAGCCAAGTCAGTCTTGCTCACAATGGTAAAGTGATCTCCCTGCCTTTACCTCAACCCACAAACCGTCTCATCCTATTTCCCCCCCGTCAAACTGAGAAGGATGAGTGAGGGGCTGAGTGGGCAGCTGGCTGTTAGCCAAGGTTAACCTGCAGAGTATCTCATTAGGTAAGAAAACTACTCATGAGCCTTCTTTCAAAACTCCCAAGCTCAAGCTTTCATTTAAAGCTCAAAGGAATGCATACTCCAGAGTCAGAAGACAAGTGCAAGCATTGTGGGCGTATCTACAGGTCAAAGCATCTCCCAAGCCTTAATAAATACAAATGCTCACTAAGACAAATCCCTCATTGCCATCAAAATTATAATTTTAATAGTCATTCTTATTTGTTGTTGTTGCGGGGGGAGGTCCAAAGCCACATTGGCTTGTGAGCAGTTGCATAATTTCTATTAGGAAGAAATTGCCTTACTTCAAAAGGACAATCTTAGCAATGCTCTTAGAGGCCATTCTGGTTTTCATCCACTTGCCATTAGCAGGTGATGACCATTGCTGCCTCATCAGCTTTTTCCCTACTTGTGTTGGCACATTTTTCTGTAAACGAAAATTCCCGTGGGGATTTCATACTGCTGAGACAATTCAGCTAACTCAAACACAAGATGCACTGAGAAAATGGAGTCTGAATTGCCTCATTTACTCGTAAGACCTCACTTTTCCAGGACTGCAATTATTTACCTTTAACACAAACTAAGAGATTGTGCCCCAAATGTTGCTGAACCACAAAACCAGGAGAGTTCTGCATTTCTTCTTCCAAAGTTCAGCCAGCCAAAAAGAATAAATAATGAAGCACACAGGTTTCTGCATACACTAAACAGATCCATTAAAGGAGATTTATCTGCACCATTTCCCTTAAATTACAATCATGCCCTACTTCTGTGCAATTTTCTGTGTTTTGTGAAATTATGTTACTGGCCATCTAATCACTCGTGTGGTGGCACTGTAATGGCAGGTTATGAAATACACATTGGGCCAACACTGGAAGTCCTGCTGACTTGAGAGTCCTGCAGCAAAGTCTGAATAATGCTAGATGGCTGAAGAGATGGTCGTGTTACCTGCATCGTTACTCAAACAGAATAAACTTTACCTAATGCTCCCTTCCACTATTTCCATTTGTTTCCTGAAACAAAAGCATGTTCATGTAATTCAAGAGTGAGCTAAGCAACAAATAATGTAAGAAGCAGGAGGAAGAAAACTCTGGTCTGGTGCTGTGGTTCTACCTTTTCTCTCTCACAAATTCCACTTTGCAGGGGACAAATACACTGGCACAGCACTTTTGTCCCAGTCCTTGTCATCCTGGGAGAAGCTTTATTTTCTAGTGCCATGTGCCTTCTCACTAGTCCTTTCTGTAGAGCCATTTCTATGTGAATATTCAGATACCACAGAATGCTCACATAATTCCCACATAAATAAAGCAATTATTTAATCATACATAAGGGATTTATTACCCTTGAGCAACCTTTATGTTTTACTAAACAAGGAAAATTCTCTGGTGTTTCATTCACTTGCCTGAGCAATGATATTAAAGAAATGTTTGGAGAGAGCAAAAATCTCACTCAGTGAATGTTTATAGCTCTCCAATACTGAACTTGTATAAGCAGACTTAATCTTAAAATCTTTACCCAAGTGGCACAAAACTCAATCAGTTTGGACCACATCACACATTTATTCTTACAGAATAATCTAATTATTCTACTTTTACTGTTTCAAAAATTAAGATAAATTCCCATACCTGAATTTTATCATCTCTGCAATACACACCAGACCTTATTAAAAACATGCACTATGAATAAAACTGACTTGTATGTTTAAATTGGGACGAGCTCTAAGAAATTCCAAGTCTTCCAAATTATTCTGCATTCATGGCTCACTATAGTTTCCTGGTGCCTGTACTTCCCAAACTGCTTTTTAAAAAATGCTAGCTAAACAGCATTTACTCATTTTTAGGAAAATCTAACACTAGCTTCCGAGCTCTGCATTTTCCCCAGTAAGAGCAAAAAGTGCTTTAGAGAAGCTGAGAATGAAGCATGGGCACCACAGCAGCCAGCTCTGCCACACCAACAAATGAATCCAAAGGGAAGCTGTTCATTTATTTTCCATTCAGGGGCAGCTCTCTCCAGCCAGTGGGCAAGGACAGGTTATGTGAACAAAAGGTTGTGCATTTCTTTCAGGCCTTAAGCAAATTTCAGACCTTAGCCAAATACAAGCTACCCAGGAATTTTACCACTGTTGCATACAGGTTTTCTAAGGAGCAGTGGAGGATAGCCAGTGTTGGGACTTGGGTCTTTCCTGCCACTAGAGCCCAGCACTCTCAGACTAAGGACTCTTCCATCTTAGTTTGAAGGATGCAGCTGCTGCTGTTTCTGCTTGCAGGTCCAGCCATGAGCAAGGCTGCACACACGCAGAGACAAGGACACAGAGCAAGCAGTGCCTTTACCAGCACACACAGACACAGCAATCCACATACATCCATCAATGCAGACCCCTCTGATCTCTTACCTCCAGCTGAACAGGTCCAAAGCTCACCGGCAATAGAGTCTTCTGCACTCTCCAGCTTCACAAGGACACTCATTCATAGAGCCCTCAGACATTGCCATGGCATTTAAACTCATCAAATGCCCATGCCTAGACCCTGAGACTACTCACCCTTCCACTGGCTTATACCTGGGCTCTCTCCCTCTACTTGCCAGCTAATCCAGCCTGATGTTTGCCAATGAGTTTTGTCAGTGAAGTTTGCACACACACAGAGGGATCCCTACAGCATCTGGTTGTAAACACACTGGCTGCTCCATGGCTGGCCCCAGATCCTAGAGCTCCTATGACCCACGGCCTCCTCTCCAGTTGTGTGTGTCCAGATCTCCCAATAAAACACATCCACACATGCTGATGCAGCACAGAAAGCAAGGTGATGCAGAAAATCATCAGAAAAAGTTTTAATAAGAAGATAGGATAGACTACAATGATGTGTCACAAGGCTGTCAGACAACAGCACTGGTCACATGAGACCATCCCCTTTTATCTCCACTTCTATTTTTCCATACATGTGCACATCCACCTTGGCCCTTTCCTTTGCTCTCATCTCCTCCCAAACAATGCACCTGTAACAACTTTTCCCCATCAGTCCCAGTTTTGCTACATCCCTACCTATAATTAGTATTCTGGTATTACTTGGATCCCCTACTGATAGAGCATGGTGTGCCTTGCAGGGTTCCTCCCACTACTCCCTTCAATTATATGAGAGGCTTGACCACCTTCCCCTTAAACTTCAGTGAAATTCATCCACCTTTCACAGCAGTCAGCTGTAAATGTTGTCTTCTCACTGCTACTAGCATTCAGCAATTTCTTCTATTGTGACCAGCAGTTCTTCATGGGCTTTTCAGCTGGCAAAGCCTCAGGCCAGGGCCTGGACATCTGCCTGAATAACATAAGAAGGTTTAATTCCAAGAGAGAAACAAAATGAAGTGCATACATTATAAATTACCATGGGTTTAACACATGGCAGTGCTAAAGAAATTTAACAGCTAGGATGCAATTCATCTACCACAGCCAAATGTTTGGTTCCAGGTTTCATAGAGCTCCAGGTCCTTCGAGGAGACGCTGGGCCGCACGGTTCTGAAGGCACTCTCAAAGTCCACAAAAGCGATCGGCCGCACTTGGTCTGGCATGATGGTTGTGATGTCCATGGACTGGAGACTGCGGATAGGGCCCAGAGAAGCTTCTTGACAGAGCTGTGTCATGTCTGCCCCAGAAAACCCATCTGATTTCTTAACTATGAGGTCAATTTCCTCTTCACTCAGTGAGCAGTGCTCCTTTGACATTAGACGGGTAACAATCTGCTTCCTGGCTGAGGCTTCTGGGAGAGGGATGTACAGTCTCTTCACCAGTCTCCTTCGGGCAGCTTCATCGATTTCTTGGGGTCGATTTGTTGCTCCAACCACTAGAATACGATCTTCAGAGGAGGCTCTTGCTCCATCTAGCTGGACCAGAAATTCAGTTTTTATTCTTCTCGACGACTCGTGCTCCCCCTCTCCACGCAGGGACAATAGAGAATCAATTTCATCGATGAAAATCACTGCTGGCTGTTGACATCGTGCCACAGCGAAGAGCGCACGGACCATCTTTTCCCCCTCTCCTACCCATTTGGAAGTCAGAGAAGAGGCACTGATGCTAAAAAAAGTTGCTCCAGACTGGCATGCAATGCACTTGCCTATAAGAGTCTTGCCAGTCCCAGGGGGGCCAAAGAGAAGAATTCCTTTGGGAGGACCACGTAACCCAGTGAAGATGTCTGGCCTCAGCATAGGCCAAACTACTATTTCCTTTATAGTAGCCTTAGCAAATTCAACTCCAGCAATGTCATCCCAGTTGACCACAGGCCCATGGTCCATGATTTCATGCATAATGAGTTCAACCATTTTGGGTTCTATGTTTTTCAGCTGTTCATCCACAGGCAGCAATAGATCTGTTGGTCCTCTTGTATGAGGTTTACACTGTGCTCCTCCATTTTCATTTCCATCTTGTTTTGCAAATGGAGGAACAAATTTGCCAAATGCACCCCGAGACCTGCCTGCACCCAGTGATTTTTTTACACCTCCATATGACGAGACTGCTGCACGCTGGGGTAGGTTTTGAGTCTTCTTTTGCTGATCCATCCACAGCTTTTCTTTTGCAGTTCTAAAACCAGGAACACTGCTCTCTTCACTTCTGTTTCTATGCCCAGTAAAACTACTGGTTTCTGTACTAGTGGAAGGCTGGCATGGAACAAGGCTAGGAATAACTGTGCTGCCTTCATCAGCCAGGCCATAGAATGTTTTTCTTTTCCCAGAATTTGCAGACCATGTAGGTACAGCTGACTGGTTGAAAAGAGACACATTTTGTCCATCACAACAGTTACCTGACATTTTCAGAGAACTACTACTTGTAGCTTCTTTACTTCCAAACAGCGGAGTTGCCTGGAAACCTGGATGAACCTGTTTGCTTAAGGAGGCTGAAGCAGCAAGAAGTGTATCTGAAGTTTTGGACACAGGAGGCACACTGCTTTGAAAAGACTTTGAACATGAGGGATGCTCAAGAAGATCTGGTCCCTGACTTGCACATTTTGCTGGGCCAGCACAGGGCTCAGTCTCTCCGGTACTGCCGCAGACACCGAGTTTAGGAAGAGCTGGAGCAGTAGAGGCACTGACCCCTTTATCAGCTTGTACACAGGCATCTGTCGGTGCCATCCGAGAGCTCTGGAAAATTTTGCCAGCCTGCATCCTCTCTTGCACACACTTTAATTCAAACACATTATCTGTTGTCAAGGCAGATTGCCACTTGTCACTGTCATTTTGCTGACACTTTGCCAAAGTCAAAATGTTTTCAGCATAGTTATTCAAGCCAGTCTCGATGTTGTCAGAGTCAATAATTGCAGAGTATTTCTCTGCGTATTTTTTAAACAGGTTGGCAGCACAGACCTGGGAGATCTCGGAGTTTGCCCATGCATACTGAATACGCAGGATTTTGGCACGGTATTCATCTGCCTTCTGTCCGGGTGTGCAGGTGCCAGAGGTAATAGCAAAGTAACTTTTCTGCCAGTCGCTCAGGTGCACAGTGCTGCGGGCGGGAGGCTCCATCACTGACACTGGAACACACAGAAAGTACCTGCAGTTACAGAATGCACTTCTCAGCCATTTGCACTGGCTGCTTCCTCCCTTTCCTAAATATATACACACGAAAACATAACACTATTTGAACTGAGATAAACAGTGCAGTAGATCATGAAAGCTACTTGGGCACTCTGGACACTTCATCATTCTCAAAAAACAACCAGCCTTGTGGTGTAAAGGTATTTACACTGAGATTCTCTTTTCTTCCTTGTTCAAAGAAAGAAAAGAAGAAGAAAAAAAGGGGGGAAAAAAAGAAAAAAGAGAGAGTTTGCTTCTAACTGGAGGTCTCCTGGGGAGGTAAGTAGACTGCAAAGAATGGTAACAGATGGCCAAGCAAAAACTGGCCTTGTTACATGAAATCACCAGTGCTTTCACTCTTACTTGACAGAATACGGCACAGTGCAGAGGAGGACAGATTATGCACCGCTGTCAGAATGATTTCATTTATTACAGTGATGGTAATAAAAATGAAACAATGAAGCTAATAAATAAAACTATATGCAAAGTCTCTGAGGGGAGGTAAAAGTGGAATGAATAAGCCTGAATGTAGCAAACTTTCAGAATAATAAAAACATTTACATATTCATAGCAAATGTTCAAAACTTTTTATCTCATTTAGAACGCACCAGAATGTCCCCATTTTACACTTTAGGGAAACAAAGCTCTTGCAGGTTTAAAGCAATGTTTGTTTCTCAGTTTTAGAGAGCAGAATTTAAATTCCTTTAGACATTTTTTTACTTAAATAGGAAAAACAACATTTGGCTAGGAAGAAGCATTTTGTTCGACTTGAAATGATTTGCTCACGTTTATGATGTATTTTCTTTCTCTGCAATGCATAATGTGCAGTGATGCTGCTGGCAACATCGAGAATTCGTGATTTCAGAGGAGACACTGGCACAAGTAAAATTAAGAGAAACCTACCACTGCCTCAACAGGGTTTGCAGAAAGTTCTTAAAGCAGTAATTCCAATCTCCTCATCTATCCCTAAGGGACATCATTCCTCTTTTAACTTCAGTATGTACCAGCAAGCTCCAGCCAGGGAATACTTAACCAAGAACTGCTAAGGTGGAGGCCCATATGTTTTGCACTCCTTCCAACAGAATACCAGTCAACTTGCAGCCTTCTTCTGAATCAGCTACGGGCTATGTACGAGCGCAGATGAAGGTGAAATGCTCATCTGAGACTGGGGAGACAGAGCTAAAGGAATCTGGGGGGTGTCCTCTCCAAATTATTATGACAGGAGGGGTTACATGCACAATCAATAATGAGGAGGTAAATTATTCTGGTTTGAGGGGTTTTTTTTTTACTTCAGCCCAACTCTGCAGAACTGTTTATGAAGTAAAAATAGATTTCACATGCAACTCTAGTGCCTTCACATGCAAATCCAATTAAAACAAACAAAACAAATCCACAAAAATCTGACTTCCTCGGAAAAATTACTGCCAACTCTTGCACCATGAGAAGTCTAACTTGTGCCTACAGGCTCCAGTTGAAATTTACATTAAAATCCATCTGCAGCTGAGTGACAGGTGAAGAGGAGACAGAAGGCTGCAACCTTTTATTTCTTTTTTCTAAATAACCTACTAAACAGCTGTCACTGTGCACATAACTTTTTTGTCACTGTTGAATCAAAAATATTTTAGGCGGCATAAAAGGTAAGTTGAGAGGAAGTTTAAGAGCAGGCATGAAGTATTTCCACAGATTTACATCATTCACTATACAAAATCTCAAGTTCACCACCACTTCCTAAGGATTTAGCAATCACCTTCGTTGCAGAACTGAGGGAAAGGCATAACAAGTGAACAGTGGTAGCCAGCTTAAAATTTCAGCTTGCTTTTTCTTCTTAAGTATGTTCTAGCATCATATTCTCTCTCCCTATTCTAAACCCTGCTTGTTGTCCTTATAGACTTATTATTTTGCCCCAAGAGGCAGCCAAATGCATAAAGCCAGGCAGAACTGTTCCCAGACGAGCACACCACACTTTCACAGAACCATTAGGGTTGGAAAAGACCTCTGAGATCATTGAGTCCAACCTATGCTCTAACACCACCATGTCAACTAGACCACGGCACTAACTGCTACGTCCAGTCTTCTCCTTAAAACAGCCTTTCCTTTCGCGTGACTGCCTGATGTCGGAGGTTCATTAAAAAAAAAAAACACTAAGGAATTGCT